GTAAAGGACGAGCAGCGCCTGTGGGTGCCCTCGGCAGCGCAGGAGCGGCACAGGAGCAGTTGCCAGGGCCTGGGGAAGCAAACGGGTTCGTGGCTGTGAGGACAAAGTGACCGCAGCACAGGACTGTCCGCCAGAGCTCTTGTTCTGTCCTCCCACTTCGAGGCCTCAGCGAGACGCAGATCCCGTGCAGAGCCCCGGGGTGCAGCTTTGGCAACTTACCCCTCTTCCTCTGCCTTCTCCCTGCCTCCTGGGCAAAGGCAATCGCTGGCATCACAGCGGCTGTGCCTCTCATATAATTGTCTGTAGGCAGCGTCGTCCACCCATGATGGTGGTCTTTTGGCAAAAGAAGGGAAAATTGATGAGCCCCACATGCCCCAGCGTGAGGCAGATGCAGAGTGTCCCTGCTCTTCCCTGCCTGCCATTTCCAACTCCTTTGTGAAGCTGGAACCTAGGCTCACAGGACAGTGGACAGCCAGGACTGGTGGGGCAGGCCCTGGCATGGCACAGCGCTTGCACCCTCCTGTCTTGTCAGCTGGGAAGGAAAAAACTAACCTCCTGGGGATTCGGATCCCTATAGTGAGCATCTCCATTGGAAATCGATATTCATTTTGACAATGTGGGCAGCAGAAGCAGGAGAAGCCAGCATGGAGAGCCTGCTTCTGTATGCAGCCCCTGTGGAACCAGGCGTGCTTGCAGGCTGGGCACACCACGGTGCCATAGGACTTTCTGTCTCCTACAGGCTCCAGGCAGATGAGGCAGGTGGTGTTCCCTTCTAGAGCTGCCTCCACTGCCTGCTCTGGGCAGTGCTCATGGCAGAAGGACCTGGGGGGAAGAGGAAAGGGATGGGCAAGGTGAGAAATGCTGTGTCCTGTGCCGATGATGGTGAGGAGGGGAAATGATGTGTGAAGAAGCGCCACGGGTTGCCTGGCTCTGCCCATGCCTATGACTGGCCCCTGGGAAACGTCACTGAGGGTTCCTTTCTTGTTTGGCTGATGCTGGCAGGAAACGGGACTGAATGTAGAGGAGCTTTGCCTGTGAGGGTCAGCTGCGCTTACCTGTAAAGCCCAAAGTACTGGGTGACGCATTCACCCTCCACGGCACAGGGGAGGTGGAAGCTGCGGTTGCAGTCCGTCTCCCGGCAGGTGATGGTGGCTCCTCTCTCGCCACAGACGAAGCAGTTCTGGAAAGGGCACAGCAGCCTCCATCAGCAGCAGCTCAGGGCCTCCGTAGCCAGCCCCACAGCTGCAGGTGGGTGCATTTTTTTTTTGCTGGGTCCCAGCGCCCAGATCTGCCTTGGGGACGAGGCTCCTGTGCTGGAGCCTCTGTGGAGCTGCTGGGAGCAAGACTTTTGTCCCACAGCTGGTTGCAAGGGCTGGCGTTTCTTTCTCAGGGTCTGGGCTAAGCTCCCGCAAATCTCTCTAGGCACAAACTTCCCTGTTCTTGTCAGGTCCTCACCTTCTTCGCAGCCCGCTTGATCGTGTGTCTAATATCCTCAAGGCGAACCCCATCCTTACAGCCTTGCTGAAGAAGCCCATTGGCAAAAGACTGCAGAAAAGCAAAACGAGAAGGAGCTGATGAGGACAGTGTGGCAGGGACTGCCTGTCGGAAAGCTGGAGGGAGTCCCAGAGAAACTCACCAGGCAAAACTCATGGGCACAGAGCCCTCGTTTCTCCAGTTTGCGCCCGCAGAGATCCGCGTCGGGCTGTGCC